TTTTGAATAATTTCTCATTCTTTGGTCGGAGCCGAGCGGCCCAAGCCGTAGTGTTTTTATTTGCCTGACACCTAACCTCAAATATTCTCGAGCACTTTCCCAGCGGCAACCGTTGATTACATTGGAGAATAGTGTTCCGTATTTCTCACCGCTATTTTAAGTGCTGGTGCGGTTATGGTTTGACCAGAGCACATGTTAGCGTTTCGTTGTTACGGCAGTACGAACTGCCTACAACCACTAAAACTAGCCTTTAAAGTGTATTTCGACTAACAGAGGAAGAAAAACAGCGGGTAGAACATAAACGTTACCGATTGGTCGAGAGCTTTCCGCCTCTACGTCACGCCAGGCGTGGGGGTACGCGTTTGGCCAATCAGGAATCTTTATGTTCTACCCGCTGTTCTTCTTCCTCCGTTAGTCGAAATACACTATTTCTCGGTCAAACTGAAGCTGATTTTAGTGATGTCAGTCATCATAGTTTTTTTTTGTTCCGATTGCCAAGTGATTTTACTTGAAGTCTCAATGCAGTGCGTATTTTTGACAAATATTTTAGAAGGTCGTGTGGTGGTCAACCTCAAAGTAACGTCTTTGCCGTAAAATCAATCTCGTATAATGCCCATTTCGTCTGTTATTAAGTCGACATGTTGACAGTCCCTCTAAGAGTGCGCAATCTTTTCTTTCAGAACTTGGCCTCTGACCCTACCGACCTCCCCGACGCCCTCCCCGTGATCCGCACGATGGAGACCCCGGACGCTGACGGGGCACCACCCCGCAAGACGCCTCGACTAGAGGACGCGAGGGTGCAGCAGCTGCAGCGGGACGTGGACGCGGGAAGGCAGGTGGTGGAGCAGCTGCGGGGGGCAGTCCTCCAGCTGCGGCAGGTGGCGGAGGCTCTGGACCACGACCTGGACTCGGCGGTCGCTCAGCTGCAGCAGTTGGAGGCAGCTCTCGAGAAGGGGAAGCGAGGGGAGGCCACAGGAGATGTCGCACCGGACTTCTCGGCAAAGCTGTTGTATTTGCAGCGACTCTGCTACGCTCTGCGCCCTGTGTTTGTGCACCTTCAGCTGGAAAAGGTAAGACATCGGGTAGTCCATGCAAGCGGGTGGTATAACTATATAACAATAATAGGGGAAGGGGTCTGTGCTGTGAGCCCACCTGAATGTTTTCTACCTGTCTGCTCGCAGTCGCTGCTGTCGCTGCCGGACCTGCCCCTGCTGCAGGTGCTCTCCCACTTGTCGGCCAAGGACCTGGGGGCCGTCGGGGAGGCGAGCCCCCGGCTGGGCGCGCTCATCAGGGAGCACTCGTCGCTGTGGAGGAAGGGTGCCTTCGATCGGTTCTATAACGTTGAAAACCTGTCGAGATACTTAAGGGTCACGCCGCCTCTTCCTCAGTTGACGTTTCAATTCGAAAGTTCCTCTGGCCATTACGTGTGCTTTTCTAGGTAGGGTGCTAGAGGGTGTCCCAGTGTCATACGCCGCTCCTGTCTGTGACATAAACATTTCTCCATTTCTCACTCGGCGTCGATCTTCCCTGTAGGTCTCCTGAAACGGACGCCTTCAGCACGTTGGTTGTAAACAGCAGCGACCCGGAGTGTTGCGCCGGCATCCTCCGTGAGTTCGGAGCTCGCCTGGAGCATCTTGAGATCTTGGGGATACGTAGCGGTCTGCAGGTGCTCCTCTCCAGCTTACGGCATGCGTCGTCTCTACGGAGGCTGCGGCTGAGCTTCGATGGCTATTATGACCGGTGTGACTTCAGATGGGCGAAGGTGAGTGCCCTCTCCATGTGGATGCCCCCCCCCTCCACCCCTCCCCTCAACCTGCTACCCCGTCCCGCCTCTTCCTCGTAACCCATTTCCTGCCCACTGCCCTGCCCACCCATCCTGCCTGCCCCTACCCCTACCCAAGCTGCCCTAGCCTATTCTTTTTCCCTCGCAGAGAACGCCCTAGCCTATCCCCCGCTTACCCACGCCTACCCCCGCGCACCATGCCCGCCTCACCCCGCCGGCGCCTACCACCGTTCACAAGACGGGCACTGCCGACTGCCGACTGATTCCGAAGAGCGCCCTCCCATACCTTCCGTATAGCTCCGTCCTTGTTGCACTCATAGGGCAGCCCCCCGTGAGCGCTCTTTGGAATCAGTCTGCAGTAGTGGTATATCTATCTAAGAATTTGTCGCGCCCACGCTCAGTGTAGCGCATGCACTGGCTGGCGCTAGTCGGGCCCGGCCCAGGGAGCAGGGTAGAACGTATAACCCCCCCTTATGAGCACCGCTTTCTCCAACTTGAGCACATCGTGAAAACGGCTCGCTAAAGCGTAGCGCAACACCTGGTGTGTTTCGATATTTGTTTATTATTTACAGGAGGTGGTGCTGCCGAAACTACGCACCGTGGAGTTGACATTTTTTAATGAATCTGGGATTGTTGAGTCCGAACCCGACGAGGACGGGGAAGATGACGACACCTTCGTTGGTATCGAAGGCGGCGACGTCAAAGGCAAAGAAGGCGACGTTGAACTCAAAGACGGCAACATCCAAGCCAAAGTGGACGACGTGATGGGCGATAGCAAAGCCAACGAAATCATAGGCGAACAGGATGACATCCGAGGCAGACGCGAAGAGAACGACGTCGTAGGCGATGTGGGTGACCTCCAAGGCCAAGTAGACGCAATCCAAGGTCAAGTAGACGTCGTCCAAGGCCAAATAAACGCCGTGCAGGTCCAAGTAGACGACTTCCTATTCGAAGAGGAAGACTTCCAAGACGATGATTACTGGATGCACATTTATTCGGACCCCTTTGAATACGATTCTGACAACGTCGGCGACAAGAGAGAACAAGTACAACCGCCCAAGCCGAACTCGTCCTTGTTCGAGGTCCTCCGCTCGCTGTTGCGGTCCCACAAGTACGATGCCATTGCTTTAGATAACATTCTAACCAAACCCATCTCCTCGCCAGTGCTGCTGTACTCTGACAACTTGATTCCTGCAGGGCAACGCTGCACCACCTGAAGCTGGACTCGCCGCAGCTGCTGCCGCTCCTCGACTCCTTTGCCAGTGGGCTGCAGCGGCTCACCCTGGCCCTCGACGATGATCAGGACCTGCAGGGACTGCAGCAAATGACCGGGCTCAAGCATGTCACCATCTTCCTCAAGAGCGACTTCTCGGCAAGTAAAGTCAGCCGTGTCGGCGCACTGTTAAAGTCATGCCCTAGTCCCCTGGAGCGCCTCGAGCTCAGGGGCTGCACTTACGATTCGGTTCGAGGCCTGGGGGCGCTCGGGCTCACGAGCCTGCAGCACCTTGTGCTGTCCTGCAGCCAGGACGTGTTGGGAGGGGCGCTGAGGGTGGCGCTGATGGCCCTGCCCAACCTGCGGTCGCTCCGCCTCCTGGGGCTCAGGGCGCCATCCTTGCACCTGTCCCGTCTCTCCGCCGGCGCCATCCCCAAGCTGGCCGTCATCGTCTTCACGGACGGCACCGGGAGTGGCTCTGACTCTGTCACCGACTATTCAGGCTATCAAGGTGAGAAGTCGCGTCGCCGCTTCCCCGGCTTTCCGTTGGCCTCGGCCGTTGAGGACTCACTGTCTTTGTCTCCGCAGACTGCCAGGACCTGGTGCGCCGCGCCCCCATGCCTCTCCACGTGGTCGCCGTCTTCCGCGAGGAGCCCGACAGGCACATGATGTTCTTCAGGCACCCCGTAGGCGAGTTGTGTCCGCTGTGCGCCGAGGCCGAAGCTGCGTCAAGTTTCCGTGTTCTAAAGAACCGCCCCTTTGAGCGTATTCAGGTAGAGTAGCGAATAAACCACAATTCATGCTTGTAAACGCATTATTATTGCGTAAAGCAAACGACATATTTGCATGGTTGCCAAAATTGGCCAACTTGATTTTGTCATGTTGACGTGTGCCACGCCAGGATGGTGAAAATAAAAGTATTGTGTAAAGTTTCCCCCTTCTTTTGAAGATAAGATTACAGATCTACTTACCTACAGACCTACTTACTTACCTGTAACTGTAAATAGTTCTAGTTGATGTTCTTAATAACTGAAGAGCTATTGAAATACAGTGTAAATGCCAATGTGAAATGAAGTTGATTTTTTACCTTCATCCCAACGTCGTAACCTCCTGGTTTTTGATTTGTTTAAATTTACATTTGATGTTGGGGTGGGGGTGGGACTTCGTATACGGACAGTCTTTTAGCGAGAAGCTGCTCTTGGCCGGACCGGTTTGAGCTAAACAGATCGAAACAGCTAGCCAAAAACAGGACGTTGGCGCTCTCACGGCCTCCCCGCCACCCGCCACAGAGTCCTGAAGTCCACCTGCACCTGCCCCGGTCTATCCCGCACCCCGAGGTATTGGAGCCCGCAGGTGAGGACCCCGAGTCCGTGGACGAATTCTTCGCGGCGGCCTGACGCCAGCCCGTTGGCCCCTGCGAGGCGGGCCGCCAGGAGGGCGCGCACGCCCGGCGGGTCTGCTGACCTCCACGGCGCTCCGCACTCACGGGGAGGTGGTGAGGTGAACCTAGCTGGCGAATCCTCCCAAGTTACAGAGATTCGTCTGAAACACGTCAAGTGAAAGTATACTGACGTCACTACTAATTAGTCACGTTGACGTGTTTTACATTAGTATTTTCAGTATTTTTCGTCTTCTAACATTTATTTTGAAATAAAATTGTCATCTGTTTGTTGTTGTTGTTGTTGTTGTTGTTGTTGTTGTTGTTGTTGTTGATGATGATGATGTTGTCCTCGTCATCGTCGGAATATCGTTGTTTTGTTGTTATTAATCGCCTGTCGGCTGCCGGCCTTGAAACTAAGTTTTTTACTAAACCATTTGTAAAAGGTGTTCTTGTGAATAGTAAATGTATCGACATTTTTTAGAATTATGATAAATAATATCATTTGAATAATTTCTCATTCTTTTGTCGGAGCCGAGCGGCCCAAGCCGTAATGTTTTTATTTGCCTGACACCTAACCTCTAACCTCAATTTTTCTCGAGCTCTTTTCCAGCGGCAACTGTTCATTACATTGTGAAATAGTGTCCTGGAATTTTCAGGAATATCTTGTAGCGCTCCTTTAAGTGCTGGGGGTTGGTTTGTTTTGGCCAGACCACATGTTACCGTCTCTTTGTTAGTGTGGATACAGAGTTCACGAAACGCAAACATGATCGTGATTTTCACGCCAGGCGTCATTTTCACGCTCCGTATGCTTCACGTAGCCAATCAGGAACCGACTTCATCACGCCAGGCGTGAAAATCACGCTCGCTTTTAGGGAACTCTGTACCTTTACATTATGACGAAGTTGCCCGACACTAGCCTTTATCACTCGGCTCCGAAGCTGATTTATTTTATTGATGTCAGTCATCTTAGTGTGTTTTGTTCCGATCCGATTGCTAAGTGATCTCACTTGAAGTGTCAGTGCAGTGTGTATTTTTGACAAAAAATTTAGAAGGTTGTTTGGTGGTTAACCTCAAAACTAAAGAGGCGAAAATCCGAAAATCCGTCAAAACACAATCAATAATAGGGCCAAATTTTCTTTCAATTGACGTTTTTACCGTAAACTAACGACGTCTTGATTAACCAATCGAACCAATCTCTTGGAATGCCCATTTTTGTCGGTGATTTAGTTGACATGCTGACAGTGTGCGCACTGTTTTCTTTCAGAACTTAGCCGCTGACCCTACCGACCTCCCCGACGCCATCCCCGTGATCCGCACGATGGACACCCCGGACGCTGACGAGGCACCACCCCGCAAGGCGCCTCGACTAGAGGACGCGAGGGTGCAGCAGCTGCTGCGGGACGTGGACGCGGGAAGGCAGGTGGTGAAGCAGCTGCGGGGAGCAGTCGGCCAGCTGCGGCAGGTGGCGGAGGCTCTGGACCACGACCTGGACTCGGCGGTCGCTCAGCTGCAGCTGGTGGAGGCGGCTCTCGAGAAGGGAAAGCGAGGGGAGGCCACAGAAGATGTCGCACCGGACTTCTCGGCAAAGCAGTTGGAGCTGCAGCGACTCCGCGACGCTCTGCGCCCTGTGTTTGTACACTTTCAGCTGGAGAAGGTAAGCCATCAAAAGTCAGGCCGAGCTGTACATGCAAGCGTGCAGTATTACTATAATAGTGGAAGGGGTCTGTTCTGTGAGCCCAGCTGAATGTTTTCTACCTGTCTGCTCGCAGTCGCTGCTGTCGCTGCCGGACCTGCCCCTGCTACGGGTGCTCTCCTACTTGCCGCGCAAGGACCTGGGGGCCGTCGGGGAGGCGAGCCCTCGGCTGGCCGCGCTCATCAGGGAGCACTCGTCACTGTGGCGGAAGGACCACACTTCTCATCAGCTCCGTAACGTCGAAGAGCTGACGAGATTTTTGAGAGTCATGCCGCCTTTCACCCGCATGATCTTTCGACTCGATCGTTCTTCTCGCCATCTCGTGTATTTCCCCAGGTGGGGATGCTAGCGACTGTTTGCCAGTGTTCACCGGGCAGTCGCATAAATATTTATGACTCTTCAACATCTTTGAACCTGTAATGAACCGATCTGTCATGTAGGTATCCTGAAATGTGGCCCTTTAACTTGTTGGCTGTGGTCGACACCGACCCGGAGTGTTGCGCCGGCATCCTCCGTGAGTTTGGAGCTCGTCTGGAGCATCTTCATATCGTTGGGATTCGCCGCGGCCGCGAGCTACAGGTGTTCCTCTCCAGCTTACGTCATGCGCCCTCCCTGCAGAGGCTTCGGCTGAGCTTCGAAAATTATAATGACTTGTGTAGCTTCAGATGGGGGAAGGTGAGTTTCCTTGGTGAAGTGGTGTAGGATATATCCCCTCGATTTTTTATCATTATTTTTGGGGGTAGATGGGGGTGGCGTGCTCTGCTATGCCCCCCCCCTCCTCTATCGCCCACCTCCCCTTCCACACTGATCCACCTACCCTTCTCCTCTCCCCACTTTCCCTCAAAACAGCCATTCGTATGTAGGTGCGTAAAATCGCCCGCTTTGCTTGACATCCTCTAACACTCCAGTGGCGGATTAAGGTCCGGCTGACAGAGGGGGGGGG